AGGTTTGCGATCCCGTTGCCGGTCCCGGTCCGGTACAGGGGCGACACTGAGGGTTGCGATCCGTTGCCGGACACGGAAAAAGACAAAAAGGAAAAAAAAAAAAAAGAATTTAGTGTGCTTTGAGATGGGTTCTATTTTCCAGTCCCTAAGCACAGCTCTTCCCTAGGAAGAGTTATTACAACTTCACCAAAACCTTTGGAATTGCTTTACTTCCAGCACTTTGATGTAGCTCCCTCTTCTTTGAAGGTATGTCTATATAGCTGAATTGCTGGCTCATAAGATCCATGTGTATGAAAAGCATGCTAATTGGACTTTAACTCCATTGAAGGTAAGACGTATTAACACTATAAGTTTGCAGAGTGATAATTAGATTCTAATTGATTTGTGAAATTAAAAGTGAGGAAAATAGGACTGTCTAATTGGAATGGGTGAGAAGCAATTTTTCACTCCTTTATTAAGAGTCATCGGCATCACATGTGCTTGTTCACTGTCAGTCGCAGGGTGGGAAACAGCAAACCACACGTCTCCCCGAAGAAACTTGGACTCTTTCTGCGCTAGTGAATTTTAAGCCTGGCACTGTGTCCCCAGGTCTCTCTCCCTCCCTCCCTCCCTTGTTTCTTCCTTCCTGCCTCCTCTCCTTTCTCTCTATTTTCCTTTTGCTTTTCCCCTGTGTTGATGGACCAGCCGAGACATAGCCTCAATTTGTATTTAATACAGGAGTGCTCTCCACAGTGTTTACAAAGCCCACATGCTCACAGTGGCTGCTGTGTGACCACCTGTCACCCCTCCTGCCTCTGGGTGTTCCTGGGGCTCTCCAGGCATGACTTGGACTTAGGACTGGGGCTCTTTCCCTCTGCTCGGAGGGATCTTCGTCCTGTCTCCATGGCTCTCTCCTGCATCTCCCTCCAGTGTTTACTAAAGTGCCGCCTCAGCGAGGCCTCCCCTCCTGACCTGACCTAATCTAAACTTGCAGCTCTGCTCCCCCGCCTCGCCTACTTCCTATCTCCTCTACTGCTTTATTTTTCCTTTCAGCATTTATTCCCAACTCACAATAGAGTTCATTTCTCCTCTGTATTATATCACTCCCCCACTAGGGTGTAAGCTCCACAAGGACAGGTTGTTTCTATTTGTTCCTGGAATGTTCCCAACACCTAGTAGGCATGTGACAAATACTTGGTAAAATTCATGTAGTGGGGCCAGGAGTGCTTCAGGGGTCACCTTCTGCCCCCACCAATTCTGGTCCAGTCTGAAGGTTTGGGTCAAAAGGGGCAAAAAAAAAAGGAGAGCAAAGAAAATTAGGAGCAAAGTAGAGCATTATGAAAGCAGACATTGGAAAACAACAGACATTGCTCTCCTGCCATGAACGCCCACAGCACGAAGCCCTGTCACCGCCTATTATGACTGTCCTCGTCAGCACATCTGAGGTACTGTCATGAGGGGCCTCACCCAGAGAAAATTACCTCAGAAAGCAACATCTAATGTAACATCATGTTTGACATTAAAAATCATTGGCAGGGCTAGTTTGGTATGAGCTGAAGGAAAACGGAATTTTACACACACGTACAGGCTGAGGGAATAAAAACAAACTCTGGTTATAACAATAGCTACTTTGGTTTATTGAAAGTTGAGTAATTTTATAAGAATGGAACCCAATCCAATATGCATTAAAGACAGAATTCCAGGGCACTGCTCCCACCAAGGCAAGATTGAAGGCAAGGCTTATTTCAGGTTTAGCGCCTGCTAACCTGGCAACAGACCTTGCACGTTTCCCATTGTAACAACCCAGTAGAGGTTCCCCCTCCCCACTGTAATAGTTTTCCTTCTTTTGGAGGATCATATTAATTAACAGCAGTTAATGAATACCTGGGAGTGTCAATAAATTGATAAGCTAACTGAGGCTAATCTTAAAATTTGTGATAAGGTGTGGATGGGCTTATGTCCTGCCTAAATATAGTATATACATAGAATGGTATTATTCAGCCTTAAAAAGGAATGAAGTTCTGATAGGTACTACAATATGGCTGAACCTTGAAAACCTTACACTAAGTAAAATAAGCCAGACACAAAAGGACAAATATCGTATGATTCCACTTATATGAAATACCTGAAATAGGCAAATTCATAGAGACAGAAAGTAGAACGGTGGTTACCAGGGGCTGGGGGAGAAAGAGAGAAGGAGTTTAATGGGACAGTTTCTGTTTGTGATGATTAAAAGTTCTGAAGATGGATGGTGGGGATGGTTGCACAACATTGTGAATGTCCTTAATGCCACTGAGTTGTACACTTAAAAATGGTTAAAATGGCAAATTTTATGTGATGTATGTTTTATTGTAATAAAGATAATTCTTCCTTTCCCTCCCCGACCAGTTCCAAGACTCAGTCAATGAATTACACTTCGATGAGCTTCAATCTCTAAAACTGGGGATATTTGTTAACAGAGAATACAATTTTTCCCAAAGAGAATAATGTATTAACTTTCCTTGACCAAGAAATGTAAAGTTTTCCACTTGGCTTTGTAGGAGTGTGAGATGTGATGCACATGCGCATTTCAGTGAGTTAGCACAGCTAGGAATTACTTATTTGCAAGGCAAGAGTCCATTTCTGAACCCAGAATGGGCTTCCTGCTGGGCGGCTGGCTCTTCCTTGGCAGGAACCATATCTGCCAGATACTCTGCGCTCTCCAGGTGCTGAGCTCCTTGCACACCACACAGGAGGGAGCCCAGCAATTGCGTGTTAAATGAGAGACCCCAGGCTTCTGTGTCCTTCTCCCACTCCCACCCCCAACTCTCATCTCAGCACGCTTTCATCTGCCACGGAATTTACCCATTGGCTGTACCCCTTCCAAAGATAATAGCAGAGCCCTGAGACAAATATTTTCTTCATTTAAAGGAATTAATGTATCGAGTAAGTAGAGTGATGACACTGGGACGGATGGGAGTCTGGGGGAAAGAGAAAGCCTGGGGCTGAGTTTGACCACGGGCTGCTTGCTCAGCCGTCTTCTTTGGCTAACCTTGCCTGTTTCCTGGGTAAGAAGGAGCGATGCCTGTGCATGCAGGTGGGGATGAGGCTCTGCCGTGATGCTGGAGCCCTCCTAGCCCTTGGCAGGAGGGGACAGCTCTCATTTTGAAGAGGAAGCAGGAGGAAGCTCTGGCTCACTGCAGCTGCCTGCCCATGCTCTGGCCTTTGCAAGGAGTCACAACTAGTTATTTACAGGGTCTTGGGCATTGAGGTCCACCGGCCTCCGAGGTCCATCATAGATATTGTTTCTCCAACTGGGAGTTAGAGGTAAACAAATAGATGGGATTTCTCCCCGGTAGAAGGCAGCCAAGATGATGAATGGTGGAAAGAAGAATCGTTCGTATTATTTATGATCCTGGTACAAAGCCTCTACGGCAATCTCTGCAGTCATCACACACTTGCAACTTATATTTAGAGAATAAGCAGTAGAAGAACAGGGAGTTGAATAACATCAGGAAACCAAAGAACATACTTTTCTTCAACTCCAAGGCAAAAATTAGACCCTGGGTGATCATTCCTTCTCTGGCAGCACAGCCTATGGTTAGCCATGAAAGAGCCTCTCTTTCGTCGATGTTCTCATGAGAAATGAATCTACATTTCCTGATTGTTTCTTGAATGCTTATAAAAATATCATTTGCACATGCCATTTTAGAAGGAACTGTTTTATGCTCTGCTTAAAACTTTTCTTCTTTTTCAGTTTTCGGTTCACACACAGATGTTAGTCCAAATGATTTCATCTAACTTTTAACAGGCTTTCTTGGCTTTCCGGATCTTCCCCCTGCCCCGTCTGTCCTGGAAACTGATGAGATACTAGCATAGACGGAAGGCCAGAGGAATCCCCTGAGTGCTATTGCAACGGGGCAGAATTGTGTCCCTGGGAGCAGCAGGGTTGTGACTGAAGACAAAGGATAGTTTTCCCCGACCTACTGCTTCATCGCCTCTCAATTTTTTTCACTTCCTGTCTTTTGTTCTCTCCTTATTTTTAATCTTGGAAGTCCCTCGACGTTGACACACTTGTGGATAACATATCCGTGGATCCAGTGACAGGGGACCTTTGGGTTGGATGCCATCCCAATGGCGTGAAAATCTTCTCCTATGACCCGGAGAATCCTCCCGCATCAGAGGTTGGTTTGAAAAATGAACCAGATGAGTGACTTAATTCCCAGCCACCATTTTTCAGTTGAAAATATAATTCTCCATTATGTGTGGAAGTAAAGTGGGGGGGTGGACATGGATAGATGATCCAAATGATCAGAAAGAAAAAGAACTTTTGGAGGTATTTTAGTCAGAGTTTAGGCAGGAAACAGTAATTTAAGTTGGGTAATTTGAGGGGAGTTTAACAAAAGGACTCTATACATAGGTGTGGGCATGGTGTAGGGACCTCAGCAGGGGATGATGCAGTACCCCAGGGCTAGCAAGGGGGCAGGTAATGGGGACAGCAGTGTGTACAGAGGGTTGGCTGGGGGAACCTGGCCTCTGGTTGAAGGAGGAAGCATGGAGAGTAAATACCCCACCTCCCTCTCAGTCCTCCCATCCTTTACTGCTGCTGCTGCTGGAAGTGGGGAGCAAGGAAGCCCCCCTCGAAGTGACCTCAGTGCAAGTCAGGGCAGAATGGAGAGTGGGCCTAGAGGGCCGGGGTGAGAAGATCCAGCACTAGACAGGACCCATACCTTTATTTCTATAGTTTCTCCAACTCGGGAATTTACAATAGTTAGAAAGCGTAATGGTGCCACACAGCTACGGGTTAATCATTCATTCGTTAGCTGCCTTCCTATTGACTCCCGCTTCCTGTGTCAGTACATTCACAGTAAAGCACAACTGGCCATCCTCCCTGCAGAATGGGGAGGGAAATCACTCGCTGGAGTTATTTTACCTTAGAAGATTTCTTCTTTCATCTTAGTTACAGTACTTAAAGACATTTTTTGTGGATGGTCTTAATTCAGCAGACTATCTTGGCAGTGCAAGTAAGAATTTGAAACCTACTTTGTGTGTTTGAATGTTTATCTTACCTGGTATTTTCTATCTTGAGTCTTCAGTATGTGCTAATTATACTTGTTATTTACATAAACTACATGATATCATTTTTGACATATGTCTATTACTGTGTGTTTTTAAAGCTTAGTTTGAAGAGTCAGTCTTATCCATCCACCTGTCCAACAGAAAAAAAATTTAAGGCTCTTATCTGTTAAATAAAAAAAATCAAATGTGTATTTTCAATTACATCATGGCTCTCATACCTTTTATCTCTAGGTTTACAGGATAATTGTGATCATGTTTAATGGCAATCTTTTGTGACTTTTGTAAGTTTTTAGCTATTAGGATTGCTGAATGTTAGGTTTAATAGAATTGAAGAAATTTATGCTGTGGAGTGTTCACCGTTCAGAACTGAGCAGAACATTAGATTCTAATTTGTTCTTGCTTGTTAGCTCATTTGGTGAACTTGGGTCATTTGCGATAGCATGGACTTGGCTTGTTCTGGAAAAAATACTTCCTTTCTAATGATGGATCTGGTAAGGAATCGCAAAAAGTAATAACAATCTATTATGTGGTGCACTGCCGTATAGAAGTAATTTTGTTTTATTAACCAGAGGCTTAGTTAAGCCAAGGTGCACCATCAACTATTTCCCTGCAAGTAACTACTACATGTTAATGTCCTGGCAATTTCCTAAGACAACTGTCATTGGTGCCAGCTGTTTTAAAGTGGTCATTTTGAATGCTCCCAGTGACCATTTTATATCTAGGCACTAGCTTTCCTAGTCTGCCCTACTGGTGTTTTTCTGATGTAGGTGTCCTTTCTTCAAGTCACTGTATTTTATACTAAAAGCTTAATAATAGAAAGTTAGAGTTGAAAGGAAATTTAGACATAATCTAGTCCCACTCATCTCATTCTACAGATGAGAAACAAACAGTAAGTGGAAGGTCCAAGACATGACCCACGTCTCCTGCCTCCGGGTAGTGCTCCTCGTATTAGGTTGAATCATGTGGCATTGCTATTTTTGTCAGCCAGAATGATTAAATATTGGCTATTTCACATGGTCAGCTTAACATGATACAACACTGTTGCTAATAAGTCAATCAAATTTGTCCTCGACTAAATGAAGAAAACCGAACTTATAAAATCTCATGCATTTAGAAATGAAACCTTCGGTTCAGAAGAATGGATGAGTGTGGTAGAGAGATGTGAATTTTTTGAGACTTTATTTTTCTTTTGGGGTCTGCACTTAAAAAACAAGGAATTAAATGCAAACATCCAAATTCTTAGCTTATCTGAAAAGACACAAAACAGGACCTGAATTACAGCCTGGAAACAGTCTGGCGGGTGCTGAGCTACAGCTCCCCCTCCACACTTGCTGTCATCCCCACTGCTCCCTAATCATGCCCAGGCTGTGCTGCTCATTCCCTTGTCCTGCCTAGTCCCCGTAGGCCTTTGTGCGCTCTGTTTCTTTAAACCTGTCAATTTACAAATGATGAAACAGGTGTCTTAAATGCAGAGTAATTTGGGAACAAAATATGATTTATCTAGTTATATGAAGCGATTTGTCTTCATACGGATAAATGACCCCATGCTTAAAGTTGTTTTAAATGACTTTTAGAAAGATATTAACCTAATTTTATTTCTTTGATAGGTGCTTCGAATCCAGAACATTCTAACAGAAGAACCCAAAGTAACAGTGGTTTATGCAGAAAATGGCACAGTGTTGCAAGGCAGTACAGTTGCCTCTGTTTACAAAGGGCAACTGCTGATTGGCACCGTGTTCCATAAAGCTCTTTACTGTAGGCTCTAACAGGCTGATTCGCACCCATGCCATGGATACTGTGAGTCCCTCATTTCAACTGCTTGCCACAGTCTAAGGGGACTCAGTTATCTCAGCTAAACAATGAATGTTGACCCTAAATTTGGATATCATGAAGCATGAAGGTGCAGTTTAACTGGGAGCAGATATGATGTGTAAGGCTTTTTTAGATGATATCCAATCGATCTTGCAATACTTAAAACCCTTATATACTAATAAAAGTCTTTTGCATTACAATGGCTAAATTTATGTCATTTGTCAGGTCCTAATCATTTAACTGTATAATGCCGAAAGTACTTCCCCGACATGTGTTCCCTGAAAGCACAGGAGTATATTGCCGCCTTGTTGTGTCTTGTTGGGAAAACAGGAGAGCAGGACAAGCTCATGTGTGGTCAGAACTCGCTCAGGAACTCCTGCCCCCCTGCTGGCAAACTGGATGCACACTAAAGTCACCTCTCAACTCCAGGCACTCCACTTTAGTGAAGCCTTCTCAGTAAATATCCACCTAGATAACGACAACTCTCCTTTTACTCTTCACTTTTTCAATCTTCCTGTAGCAATGGCATGGAAGGAAATCTTACAATTCCTGAGGGTGTCGTCACACCTGAAAATTCTGAGTGTCTTGTCTCGGCATAAATTGTACATTTTAGTTTCTCTGACCTAGTGAAAAGAGGAAGTTTGTTCACTTCAATGACTGGATAAAGAATGAAGCCCATAACTGACTCAGGTAAAGATAAGTGTCCCCAGAGGCTATATTGTTGATGAGGTGGGGGAAGGGGGGTGGGGAGGGGTCCTATTCTAACTTGCTATGGAGAAAAAAAAATAGAAAGGTAAACAAATAGAAAAGATCAACTACCTTTTAGCTATCTTCTGAGGGACATGACTAGGAAGAAAACGTGACTCTATCGTTTTGTTATATAAAGGTTACCTATCTTTGTTTGTTTTGAAGGTAAAAGCTCCAGGCTGAAGTATTTCTTTGGGACCTTAAGGCAGTCATTTCAGAAACTTCAGAAAGTTTTTCTAAGGCACTTGTCATGATGATGGTCTAGCATTTTGGGGAAAATGTTTTGCTGATAAATTAAGAACCACTAACAGTTTAAGATCACTGACTGAAAGTAATAAACGAACATTTTGTTTGTATCATAAAACAGTTTCCTCACATCGGGATTGGCATTTAGTCATGATTTCAGTGGGCATGTCATTTGCCCTATGGGGGTCAATTATTTGGAGATGCTGTTCACAACCCAGGAAGCTGGATTCTCTGAAACACTGTTTTGAAACTATCAGTGAGTGTGGTGCTCAGGGGAAAAAATCCCATATTTCCTTTAAAAAGAAATCTCTTGAGCAGTTAGCCTCCACAACATCTTCAATAAAATGACCATATTCTGTTCTTTCTACAACAAGCAAATTATCCCTCAAAAAGAACGCTATCCAATTGACCTAGCATACACTCAAGATCATTCAAATAGGGACATACCTCGGTTAGGAATTTTATAACATACACTCCAAGAAAGAGAAAAACAGCTTAATTTATTCTGTAATGTCCAGATCTAATTTTAGCCTATTTTTAAAATTTTTAACATTTACTTCTACATATTTGTGAGGTACAGTGTGTTGTTTCAATGCATGTACATTGCACAATGGTTCACTTAGGGTAGACAGCATAGTTTTGTACCCATTAGTCCACCACTTCTCCTCCCCCACATCTTCCCTGGCCTCTGCTCTCTACTGCTATAAGAACCACTTTTTTTTTCTTGAAATTCCACGAGTGAGATCATGTGGTATTTTTCTTTCTCTTCCTGACTTACTTAACATAGCACAGTGCCTACCATTTAGTAAGCATTCTGTGCGCGCGCGCGCGCGCGCGCACACACACACACACACACACACACACACACACACACACACACACACACACACACACACACATTTTGGCAGCTAGCCGGTAGACGGATCAAACTCTAGACCTTGATGTTAACAGCACCATGCTCTAACCAACTGAGCAACCAGCCAGCCCCCTCAGATCTAAATTTTTGCACTGCCAAAGGTTTAGTCACAGATAAACTATAATTTGTATGTGTGAGAAAAATAATGGAATGAATACCTCTCACTTATTAGAGCCAAGTCTTCTGAATTCTTAAGGTTTTAGAAATAAAATTGTTTTAAAAACCCTGTACTCTAGAATGCACCTGATTCTTTGTTAGCTTGCCCCTCGCCACGTCACGCTGACTGCTTAATGGCTGTGTCACAGACCTGTTCCTGGCTGACAGGTATCAGGAATGACGGAGAAGTAGTGATGGGGAGCAGAAGGGGCGTGAGGGGCTCCCACGGGTGGCTTGGCTCTTTTAACTTTATGCCCAGTTCCATAATTGTGCTTTCAAATGTAATTCCAGCTGCCAATTTACACTTTATCAGAGTTAAAACTTATTTTTAGTTTCATTTCCATGAAAAATGTGCAGTTTGCTCTTGATTGATAGATATGTTTTGACAGTTAATACAGGTTTATCCAGTCACGGCTCATTTTAGTTGAAAGTGAAAATGGAACAGGGCAAAAAAAATTACTTCGACAGAGCTCAGCATTTCTTTTTATTGCATTCGTTGTCTAACAACAATAATACTCATTGGCAAGAAACGTATTTACACTAACAAATTAAATTTAATCACAGGTATTTTTAGATTGGTCAGAAAACAAAGGATCACTGTGATATTTTGCTTTGAATGCTTCTGAAAACCAAAGAGTAAGAAATGTCATTTGAAACAGAATAATCTAGAGAAGTACATATTAACCAAGCACAAGAGAACAATTCAAACGTGGCACTATTGTCTCTTCCATGCAAATGATCAGACATCAGAGTGTACAAATTAAAGTTTCAGGTAACATGCTATTCATACTTATCAGACTTGAAATTATTTCCAAGCAACTCTTTTCCTTTAGTGACATATAAAGAAAGATGAAAATAAACTTCTTACAGTGGAACAGAATTTATTCTCTCTCTTTTATTTTCAGCTGCCCAGCTTTGTTAGTAATATGTAGCAGGTGTACTAGTGGTTTAATTGCAACACCATTAAAAAATACAAAAGCAGCAGTTATGACATTAAATAATATTCAGGAACACATATACATATACATTTTTAAAATTCCACTAAGCACTAACTAAATTGGATGTTGTTGGGAGGTGTTATCTAGCTGGAGTGTCTCTTAATTCCCACTTTTTAAAGCTAATTTAATTATTTCTAGCCAATTGTTCTTAAATGAATGAATGATTAGATCCTTCACAGAAAACCTCAGTGTATAAATAAAATAGCTGAAAGAAATAAAAATGTACACCTTCCAACAACATAATCACACTGACAACCACTTGTGTTATTTTTGGTGACCACCAAATGCCATTACTCAGCACAAAATGCCATTACTCGGCACAAGAAGTAAGTAAATGGTCATATGGTGGCAACATTTCTATCAGAGAGCCAGTAGCCAGTGACTTAAGCATCACAGCTACCGATTATGTCATTTTAGAAGTGTGAGCAGATGCATAAGAACACACAGTGCAATTTTCAGCCAGGAAAACTGCAGCCCGCACTTGAAAATGCCCAAAGTTGCATAAATTTCCTCTGAGCTCTAAATTAGCAATGTGCAATCTTGACATCAAAGCATTAACCAAACATCTGAGGAAATTTTATCTTACTAAAATAACAAATATCTAATAAATCAATTTTACCAAAATATATAAACATGTAGAAGGATAAGTGCATTTAGTAGAAATACTTACATTTAAAAAATCTCTTAAAATCTATGAGCCATCCAACATATACACAACACAAAAAGTGGCAATAAGTCTATGATTACAGCTTGGGTTCTTAACTGACATTACCAAGTTCCATGTACAATATATTTTTTTTATGCGATGTGATTGCAGGGTGAATGTGTGTGTAAGATGGAAGGTATATTCACACATATGTAGTTCTGAACACCTACACAAGTGGCATGCACATTATTGAGAAGTTGTCTGTTGTTCTCTCATTCCTTATGTCTTACTCATTTTGAATCCCTAGTGGTTTGGGGGTTGGGGTAGGACCAAGGATTGGAAATCGCGTTTCTTTTCTTTGCCACTCTGAGGACCTGGAAGCAAGTCACAGGCTGTGCTTAGTCCACAAGCTCACACATGTGAACCTCCAAGTAACAACCATTCCCTCAACAAACCCACACAGACACCCATGCACAAGCACGTAAGGTGCCTCTGTCTGCTGTAAACAGATATTGATGCTTTCACTCACCAGGGGGAAATTGATTCTGCAGGCTTTTTCTTTCCCCTCCAGCTTCTTAGCTGGGCCTATTCTATGCTGCTACTTCAAGTTACTCAAATGAGTTTTGTCTGGTGTTATTTTTTTCCCCAGTGTTTTGGACCAAGACTAAATTTCCTGAGACTTTAAATACCAAAGACAAATGCAAACAAAATCTGCCTTTATTCCCAGGCTAGTTTTCAGGAGTGAATCACTGAAGTGCATCAGACTTCTGATAGCACTGCTTTCTTAGAATTTACTCTCCCTCTACCTCTCACCACAATGAAAACAATTCTAGTAGAAAATATGAACATTTTATTTTTGAACCCCATTCTTAAATGCTTAGCTTTAGAACAGTGCACAGGTAGATCCTTGATTAAAGGTAAATTTGAAAAGATACAAAAAGAGTGGACTTTTCTTTTCCATTTTACCTTTTCATTCAGAGAGCACTGTGGCTTAGAATTGAGTAGGTGACATGAACTGCTATCCACAAAAAGGACGTGCCCCTCATTTCCAGTTCTGTTGGGAGTACCTTTAATAGCTCAAATGGAATTTGGTAATTCTTAAACATCATATTGTAATGAAGGACATTACGCCACAACACATCCAAAGTACAGATGTTTCTTTCAGAATTGTTGGGGCACCTTCCTTTAGAATCTTCTTGAACACTATTGTTAAACAGTGGGTCTCCTCTCTTGGAGCTTAGTCTATATAATCTTTAACATTTATAAATGAGTTAGAATATCTATATGAATGCCAATTTTTATTTACCTTTGTTTACATGTAATTTTCAAACACATGTTAATCCTATTTCACAAAGAACCTAGATGAGAATTCTCTGTCCTCAGCAAAAATCATAAAGGTTGAGGTGCTAGATGAAACAACCTGCAACCATTTTTGTAGCTTGAGCCTGAGGTATTTTGAGATTTCAGGCTAGAGACGACTATAAGGTCACAGGCAGTGGCAAGGGTTAATTTGGTTCCTCACTCGTCCTCTTACCACTTTGTTTCCAACAACAAAGGAGCACAAGGTAGAGCTCTCCACCTCTTGCCCACCGAAAGCTGAGTTTGGCACTAGCACTTGTCATACTGCCATCATGAACTGTCGCAAGTTAAAAAGGCTTATTTGCTATTGGGGGTGAGAAATCAACATAAACCCTGGCTAAAGGATGAGAGCCACGGCATAGCTTTATTGTCATGACACTAATGGTGGACCTTCTTCGTCAGGGTGTTAGAATGTACGAAATGAGGTTTCTGCCCTAACTTAACACTCTGAAGTAAACTTCTGACTCTCGTAAAAAGAATGAGAAAATTATTACATGAATTATGAGTTACCTTAAGGGAAATGGTCTTAAACAAAGCAATCTTGTTATAAAACTCAAATCCTTTAGTGGAAAACCCTGACCCAGATAGGGCTCGCACCACACTCTCTGTCTACAGCTTGGCCTCACCACACATCGCCTCCCCACAAAGCACTACCTATGCCCCCAAGCACTTTTGGCTATTCTTAGAGTCACACTGAGCAGTCCTTTAGTAAATATAGCTCATAGTAACCAGATATTCCCTTTTCGTTCATTTTCTGATAATAAAAAACTGCAACATCTTTAAGGTTCATGAAGCAACAACTTTGTTTTCAATTGTATGGACAATGAAAACCACTAGCATTAAAGCAGGAATTGTGCAACACACTGGAATCTCATTTAGGTATCATGCACTATAGTCAATAAAAGAAATAATAGGAAAATAAAATGTTCACAAGATCTGAGTTCCTTCACTTTTTTTCACACTCTTATACCAATTTACATTTTATCCTTTGTGGCCAATTAAATCAAGTGTCTTATAATGTCAGCAGTTTTGAGTAGTAAATTTAAAATAACTCATTTAGACCTAAAATTACTATAATTTAACTTAAAAAAATCAAAATAGTTATAATACAAACTAAATGATTTGAGGAATAAGAATTTGATTTATAACACTGTCAGCTGGAGATTGATCTAAACATTAGAAGTGTACAAATAAAGTTATAATAAAGAATACTTATAAGACATTTAAAAATGCAATATAATAGATTATAAATTATGTGCCAAGACACAGACTTATAGACATTTCCAATATATACATTCATTTTCAAATGTTACCAAAGTGTAAACATAACTTAGGATAATCATCCTTCTAGTTCCATTCTTGAAACGAATACAGTAAAACTTCCAGTGTAATCCAGATAACTTTTTTCCCAAAAATAAGTAGAAATGCCAAAACTTTACAATAGCAAGCACTAGTATTACCAGATTTTTTACTAATTTAGTCTTTTAGTATTAGAAAAGGTTTGCCAAATTTTGTAGTTCATTAATAGTGGCTCCTGGTTTCTCATGATACTAATCAATAGCAAAGCACCAGACATTTCAAGATATTAATAAAACATCCAGTATGGCAGTTTCATTATCATACCCTAAAAGAAGATAGACAGAAAAATATAATGGTGATTTTGATAATTGTAAAACATGATGTTACTTTGTGTCAGCATTTCTGAGGACTGAATGATCTGTACCCAGTGGCAAAAGGGCTGAGGCTTAACAGACAATACTCTGGCACCAAAAAGGAAATAACCTTGGAGAAAGAGGAGGGTAATAAACTTCTAGTTTAGACAATTCCAGAACTTGGACATTCATATAAGCAAAATAAATCAAATCAAATCAAAAAATAAATCACAATGTTCAAAATACGAGATGGAGCTATAAAAAGCAGGTCCCCCACAGTGTCTGTTACCTGTAATATTCAAAATCCCTCCCCCAAGCTCTGCAGATAGAACACTTCCTGCAGAAGATATGGACAGTGCTGGGAACAGAGCAGAGACCCCCACGTAGCAAAGGAAGTAAAATATTTGTCCAAGAATTCATTTTGTCTCAAGTCTTATTTTGAAACTTGTCTCTTGGAAAGCGGATGACATCATTTTTAGAGTCAATGCAGCAAAGAGAACCAGGCACATGAGCATAAAAAGTAAAACAAAAAACAAACCAAAGAACTTCAAAATTTGAAATTTCTCAAGATGACTTTATTTTGTCCTCTTTCTGCCCCAGTCTCCTGCACTTGACTTAAATTTGGTGAAATACTGAAATCCTTAATACTGGCTTTAAAATAAGTATAAATTCCTCCACTACTAAAGTGTATCCTATGTACTGCCTTAAACAAACTTTAACTGTAAAGTGGAAATCTCTAAAGTATGGAAGAGAAAGGCTCAGAACCACCATTCAAAACATCTCTAAAATGTAACTGACAGTTCTCCTTTACAGGAACATTCTGTGTGCTCAAAAAGTTGGTTCTCTGGTTGATGCTACCCAAATCTAAATCTTCTTTAACTGTTATTTCTATTTTTCTTAAAAGTACATTTATTAAAACACTAACTGAGCCCACTTGGGAAATCTTGAGTAGAAAATATGTGATGAGTTCCTGACTGTGACATAGGCAGGCTGAAGACCTGCCAGAATGTTCCTCAGGAGAGGAAACCTGAAAATGGCAGTTTCCTTAAAAATCAATTTCCTGTTCAATTTGTTGGGGGAGAAAAAGGAACTGTGTTATGTTTGCCAGTGTTGCTGAAATACTGAACGCACAGCAGTAGCAAAGTAAACAACAGATCCCCATATCCCATGGCTGCATTAATGTCTGATTTTTTCTTCTTTATTCAGCTATATCTGGAGGATAGATGTTACCCTCAGAATCCCAAGGTAATATCCACATCCACATTCTTAAGGCTTTTGCTTTATTCTATAGTTAACAAATAACTATGATTCTTCTCTCTTTCTGATGCCCAGCAAGCAGAACAGTTTGCTTGCTTTTTCCCTCAGCAGGTAATTATGTGGTCAAGCACTGATGCTGCCACAGAGGGGATGTCTCCCTGTGCAGACAGAATTGAGGGGGAACTGTTCTCATACACTGGAGTAGATTCTGTAGCCCTAGAAGTACTGATCCCAGATCTCATGGCAGCATGCTCTCTGCCATGCATATCTACGCAAATGCCCAGTTTCAGGATCCCACACTGAAAATTCATGGCACTCCATTAACAACACCAGGGTGTGTCATGCTCTTGTTGGGCAAGGTCATGCTGGTTTTCCAAGTGACACAACACACCCAACGCAACACAAGATGTTGGTAAGAGAAGAGAGAAACACAGCTACTTTGCATCTCCCATAAACGAGATCTCTGGTTTGTTAATCAACCAGAGGTGGTTTGGGATTGTTTCAGTAGGTTAAAATGAAGAGTACATCCTATTATTGCAGAAAATGCAGTTACTCAACACATGGTTCCTCATCTGCCTAGAGCAGCATTACCCCTATTATCAGTTTCTTCATCCTTCGGAGGAAAGCAGGGCAGGAAGAGGTGGGGACTTCTCCTGGAGCATCAACACCCTCCCTGAGAGGGTGTGAGTTACTGCTCACCAGTGCCCTCTGTTGCAGTTGATGTCATCTTTTCTGGTTTTTTGGACTTCCTCTGCATTTGCTCTTGTTCCTTCCTCCTCAGCTTTTCTCTTTGTTTTTCCATTTTCTCTTGGGCCTTCCGAGCCTTCTCTAGAGACATCTTCATTTCCTTGAGTTTTTTTTTGACCATGGCTCGATCCTGGGATGATGTCATTCCAAGTGCCTAAGAAGGAAACATATACACAAACTGGATTTGAAAAACCAATGACTCCTCTGCTACAATGAGATTAATATCACAATATGTTCAAATTCATAAACTAATTTAAAAATAGAAGAGGTAAGAACTTAGGAAGAGCTGATTGCATTTGCTAAAAATTTACACACGGGGGGGGCTATGCTTTATTAACTCGTGAGTGAATGAAAAAAGAGCACAATTTTACCTTTCCAACTTTGGGCTGTAGGCATTTACAGGTAAACTACCACTAACCCCGTCAATATTTTCAAAGGGTAGGAGTGGGCACCTGCTGCCACAGAGGGCTCCAAGAAGGGCAGGAAGAATTGAAATGGCTTCCTCTCTGCCAATGCATTCATTTACAATGAGAGCCAAAAATGTCTTTGGGGCCAGAATGCTCAGGTCAGCATGACTAGCCATTCTCTCCCTGTAGGCAGACCTATAAAGGAAGGTTGATAATGAGGAGGTTGCTCGATGAGCTTGGAATTCAGAATAAGGGGAGTTGGTTATGTACTTTAAAATGTTTCATGACCTTCAGAATAAACAGCGGGATGCATCCATCTCCCCAACAGAGACAGCCTTGTCAATGGGGCCTTCCTATTCACAAGCAACTGATTGATCTCTAACCTTTTCAGGACTGTCAAGGATACTCATCTGCCCATCAGCCTAGCAGGGGTTTGGGGGACTGAGGGAATGGAGGAGGGTGCATGGAGCTGGCTGTAAGCTCCTTCTGCCCTTTTTCCACAGGGGTGGGTGCCACCCCAGTGTCTAAGAGACATGGACTGGATGAATGGAAATGAGCGTGCAATGGAGGGGGCGGGAAGACATGGCCTGCACATGTTTGGTCAAGAGAGTTCTGGGGAGACCATCATCCCAGTGTTGGAGTGGTGTGTATGGAAGAGTTGGGGGTGGAGGAGAAATGAGTAAGAAAAGGAAGATTCATGGATCTGGGTCTTAACTAATGGGATGAAAAAGTTCACACTGGCCATTATTAAAACTCATACTACATTTGAAGTAAGTAGAGTTAATACATGGACCATGTGTTGCTGGGTGGAAGCAATGGAGAGGGTCCCTCGCTCTCCTAATCAGCAGCCTACCAGTTGATTTAGAACCCCTGATGGACTTTCTGAAACTTTATTTGCAACTCAGAAATAATTCAACGAGAATTACCTCTCAGATATGCAGAATGCTCTTATCTGATGAAAACATTTTAGGTGCTATGAGTAATATAAATTATACCTGGTTACCTAACATAGACATATAATTCTTTACCTTAAGTTTATTTCCATCCAACTGCAGGAGCTGCTCTCCAGTGATGTTTTGGGCACTGAATTCAGATACATACTGCTCCAGATTTAGGCTCATTAACCAGTGAGAAACCTGCTGCACGCTCCATTCATGAACGGCCCGATTCTGACACTGACTGTGTTTGGGTGACTGTCCATCATCAAGGATCTGAGATAGGAATGTTACGCAGTGTTGTTAAAGGACCAGAATGCTCTGGCTCATATTATGCTATCAAAAGGAATTTCTTAACCTACTAGAGCCACATTTATTTTTAAACCACAAAACGATAAGTTAATGGTTCTAGTTGTGTTAAAAAAAAACATACTTATTATCTACATGCTTTTAGGTATTTGTAATTTGATAAATTCCCCCAAATAAAGCAGCGTGACTAATGTAGGAAGTTTAATATGGAAAAAGACACTAATGTTGCAAGCTTTTACCTTAAAACACACTGGAAAGATTATCAGATGTAGGAAACAAATATTTCATGAATCTCTACATGCAACCTATTACTCTGCCTTCATCCTCTGATGAGACATTAGGATTTTGTAAAATTACACTAAGAAATATTGAGGTATCTTTCACTTGGAAGAGGAGAGACACCTACTTGGGGGAAGCTTCACAACCATTATTTCATTTGAGCATCAAGAAAACCTATGAAGAAGGTAGGGCAGGCAAAACCCATAATTACTTTTAATAAATGAGGAAACTGATGCTCAGAAAGTCTACGTGATCAATCCAAGATCATGCAGCCAGTGAGTGGCAGAGCTCAACAGTTAGTGGTTTACTCCAAACCTCAAGCTCTGTCTACTGCAGAATATTCCTTTGAATAGTGCAAAGGGGCAAGCTGGTTCCTAGAACAACTAAGCTAAGAGGAGATGAAGGCAATGATGAGGTCTTGGAGGAAAGACAGGAGTCACCTGGGTGACCCATGTAGGAAACACAGAGGAGGGGATGGGCTAAGCCGAGGTGAAGGCAAAGGAGATGAAAAAGAATAGATCATATCAAGGTAATGGTGATGGGATAAATCGAGGAATTCTGGAGGTGAAATGTGAAGATCCCCTTGACTCAAGAACATCTTTTAAATAAGATACAGACAACGAAGTCCTCAATTACACAGAGAAGTGTTCTTGCATGGTTTGATTTTTAAGTCATCTGCAAAGAGAGCAGAGCTGTTCAAACAGTACCACAGGAGCCAGCACACACAGCCCACTGATAGCTCACCTCATCATCTATCATGTCCAGGCTCTGAGGGAGGGAGCAACAAAGGAATCAAGAAGAAAAGTGTTACAGAAGCGGCACACACCACATGTACAGTACACAGTTTTAATGAAGTTAAAATCATGCCAAGCTCAAAGAATATGGGCAGAAAAGTTTACGAGGAAAAACCAAATTTTACAAAACAAAAAAATCATGTTAGAAAAGAATAAATAAGAACAAATATTTAGAGCAAAAATATCTATATTTATGGTGCTCCCTGACTCCCTCCCATTTGCGGGGAATGAAGTCAACTACTAATGTAATAATTTCCTGCCTCTCTTGTACATGTTTATCTCCTGATAATTTTTAGCAATGCTAATCTTGTCCCTGGCTTCTAAATAAGCGGTCTCATCCTATTTTCCTTCCTTGTGGGAACTGTGCCTTTCTACTGCAATGATTCTCAATCAGGGCCACACCCTATTCAGAGAGAATATTAGAAACTGGGGTAGGGGTGATTTGGGGGAGACAGGGAGAAAGAATGGATAACTTGTAAACCTACATGGATTTCTGAGCTGTTCCCCCATTTTTGGTCTCTAGTGCCCAGTCCCCCACCATGTGTGTTTCATATACAGATGTAAAAGGGGTCTGTGCAAAGCTTAAAGGGTCTCAGAAAAAACACATTGCTTTCATGTTGAGAGAGAGAAGGAGAGAAATCATGAAGACTTCATATTAAATCTAAAGCCATGGTCCCGATGATTTCTATGCAAAATCTACCTAAAATATTTTCCCAGAATCATGGGTAAAATGTCAAATTTGAGAAAGCAGTTCTGTCATAGTTCCATAAAAGTACCTCATCTGATGACAGTGCTAAGGACTGGGAGAGCCCAGGTGTTTTGGGTTCTGCTCCTAAGCCACTCAGGTCTGCCGAGCTGGTACTGCTGGGACTGAAGTCATCATTGAAGGTAAAATTCTGTAAAGATAAATCAAGCTCAATGTTAAGTAAGCACAGTGAGTGAACCAGAGGTAGGTGTGTCTGCAAGTTCTAAAAAGGCTTTTTTGAAATAATCTTAGACAAAATTCATGTTTAGTTCAGTGATGACCTTCAACCAGGCAGTGGTTGAGAACACTGCACCTTTTGCAGTGGATAGGCAGTTCTGGGCACTTTCTCCACCTGATGAAAGGATAGGTGTTTAAGAGAAATGATTCTTCAATTTCTCTTCAAGGATACAGAATTCATTATCCTCTGCAACTGCTCAGAGGAGTTAATATGAAGAAGCCTATTTTCTCTGACCCTTATTGTGATGAGTTAACAGTGTAAGTAAAAATACAAGATGGTGTGGAAAGGCTGAGTTATTGGGAACAGATGGCAATTCATATCAGAAAGAGAGCTGGAGCACTCCCGGGAAGGATTGCTTGTTGGCCGTGATAAATACCATGAGAAATGGCAGATCCCTTCCTGGATGTACCCTTCAAGACAATGAGTTCTGGGAGCGGTCACAGTCTGACAATACGCTAGTAAATACAAGCTAAAATACAAGTGTCTCCCGGCACTAGCAAGTTCCACAAAGGCTGTGGCACAGAACATTTCCAAATAATCGCCCGGGGTGGGGGAGGTGGGAGTGTGTAAATGTAACTTCCCCAGAACTTCATTAGGATGTTCGGTGGATATTAAAACAACTTAACAATGGCTATGTAGCTCCCTTTGTGAAAACATTTTAAACCAATTCTGGAGTCTCTTCAGTGAAGGATTAAAGTAGAATTTTTCAAGCAAGTTTTAGATGTCTCAGATCCAATAATGAAAATGTTTCATGGTCGAAGTGGTCTACTGCTGTCAAAACTTCTTTTGCTGATAATTCTAGGATGGCTAGATTCCCAGGAACTCTAAGCATTTGACCAACACCATCTTGTTTCTTATCCCACTTCTTAGGAATTATTACTTTTCCATTAGGTTCCCTTGTATTGGGTTTAGTTGGTTATCAAGAATAAATACAATGTCACAGGCTGAAGAATTCAGTACCAAACAAACTCCAAGGTTTGCTAAAACTTCAGAAAAGGAGGCTAAATCAGAGCACACAGAGCTAGGCCAGTAGAACATTTAAGCAGCAGGGCATTTAATATAGAAATCACCGTTTGGTATTGTCAATGGAGACATAACCCCAAACCCCAGTCAAAACCCTTTGAGCTGTTGACCTCAAGAAAGGAATTAAGTTCAAGTAACATTAATCACATATTTCTGAGAAAGAAAAGTAAACACAGATAAAAGGAGACCAAACAACATGTGAAAGTTAGCCACTGTATGGTTTTCAATAAAATGTTAGATAAGGTTTGCAGCGTCATGCTGGAAACAACCATCATGCATTTAAAAACAAATAACGCCCATGCATATAATATCTAATTCTGCTAAAGTTAAAGAACTTTGGTGACAGAATTAAAACAGTCGCTCGACGTGGAAGTTTGGTATTAAAAAAGAAATAAGTAAGGGTGCTATGTCAGCATTGGTTTGTTTTAAAGAGTTTCATTTAGACGTATTCAGCCCCCAATTTATTTGTTTTCCAATAAATCTTGAAGAACCCAGTGAAATAGTTTTATAATGTAATTTAAAGTAGAATACTTGGCAAACAGATCTGTCATACTCTTTCATGGGATTCAAATGCATCCTTCCCAGCATGGCTTAATTGTCAAACTGAGATTAAATAGCAATATGTGAAAAGACAGGCAAATCAATGAGTAATGCACAATCTAGAACAGAACAGCATCACAGTACTGAAGAAGGTGAGGTTAAATGAGGCTTTCTTTTTTCCCCACACAAGAAATACCATGCATTGTTTATTGCAGTGTTATCACATTGGTTTCTCAGATCCAGAGAACACACACACAAGTTGAGAATGCCTTCCAAAGATTGAAGAGGAGGAGGGATTTGGGTTTTTCTTGTTTGCTTTTTTAATCCATGTGTTTTCTACCTTGGACCCCGTTTTATCTGAAATTAGAGCCTCAGGAGAAGGCTGAAGGGGACTTGTAGATGAAGGCAGGTTCCTGAAGGAATAGGATCCTTTCCGGCTTTCATTAAACCAGGAGAAAGGCATGCAAGGGGAGCGAGTGGAGGCCGGAGCTGCCGAGGGTGACCTGGGCTTCCAGTTTTCCAGCCTGCCTCTGAAGATCCTGTTTTGTGGAAAAAATGGTGTATTAGACAAAGAAAAGGCAGATGTAAGACCTACTGAACCAAATTCTAATAGGATTCGGAATATAGACCAAAGTCAACAGATTGAGAAATTGTTCTACTCAATAGAGTAAAAATTTCACATTCTAGACTATAACACTAATCTTAATAGTTATCTTTTTGCATCTAAATGGATTCCACGAAAATGATCAACATTTCCTTATTGCTATTGCTCTGATAGATTATTATTAAATGTACCTAATAAGTGTATGAGGACAAATTAAAATCAGGGTTGGACACAGTCTTCGAGGAACTGCTGCTAGGCTAGTCTTCCCAGCATTTCCTTCATCTGAGTGACATAGCGCCTTGCCACTAGAGGCATTAGCTCACAACCAGCATTCTTTCCTGTCTTTCTCTGGACTCATGTTCTCCATAGTCTGAAACTTTAGAAAATGGTACATTTAAATAATTTGGCAATTTTGGGGCTCATGATACTTTAAGCAGAACGAATAGCTTATTGATTTTTTTTATAATAATTTTAGTGCCTTTTTTCAAGAGGAGCATGAGACCTGAAGCCCTCATATCCCACTAGGAGGTCCAAGGTCTACCACTTCCTGAGTACATGGCCTTGGGCATTCTCTCAGTCTCTATATCCCCATCTGTAAAAGGTGGATATTTTTTGTATCTCATGTGTGGTTGTCAAGAATTAAATGAGATAATATGTGTGAAAGTGCTTTGAAAACTGTCAAGGTATAAAGGTCTATGTTTATTGTTTAACATTTAAAAAACTCAAAGACATTTAAGGAACAATGTTTGAAAACTGTTTTTCCCCCTTAATGCAGGCAGTTTCATATTGTATTTATCTTTTGGTTAAGAGAAAAATAAGGATCAGGACCCAAAGTAGGAACGGGCAGCGGTTTATGTGCATCTTGGAAGAGGTAGCCTCAATATTTCCAAATGATATTTGATGGTAAGCCTATTATTTGATAGCTGTTGATATCATGGCAACGAAGAGATTCCCTTTCAATTAAAAGTGCTTGAACACCATAGCTAGACAACTTCTGACCCACACGTATAATGAATTTCAGTTTTCTCACATCACATTTCAAATATATTTTGAAATATGTATTTCAAATTTATACAAATAGTATAATTCCTAACAATTTGTTTATTTCCAAATCTTACTGTGAGAACCAAATGGGACAATAAATATAAAAGCATCTTGTAAACTGTACAGCAATATACAAATGCAAAGGGATTATAAAAATGATAACTAAAGAGAATGGAGAAGTCATTTTGGTAAAATACTGAGATAATAAGTTGGGTGAGTAAAATTGTTGGTCACACTAAAAATTCCAGAAGATCTGATGATTTTAATAGACAACAACAACAGCAACAAAAACACAAAGAAGTCTGCAAGGATTAAAGAAAAGACCAACCAGAGATATGTCAACCTTCCATTGTACCCTAAAGTCTCAACTAAAAAAAGCTGCACCCTCAAATCTACCTACTTATTATTAAAAGATGGGAAGAGGGTACTACAATAATTGGACTCAAGAAAGCCTGCTAGCAGAGGCACACTTGTCTTCTGTAAGAAGCACTTTTTATTCCTGGGCCATGGACCAGTGTAGTATTTCCTAAACAAGCCTGATAAGAATCATCTGGGGCATCTGTTCGAATACCAATTTTGGTTACCCAGACTTACAGAAATAGAATTTGGGAAAGGGGAATGGAGGAGTTAACCTGAAATCTGTATTTTAACACAGGTCTGAGCTGACTCTTAAAGTTTTTAATAGAGTATCAATATTTATTAATACTATCCTGAATGCAAATATGAGGTTTTTGAAGCAGAGGAGATTATTATTCACTTACAGAAAATTGTTGTGCTGGTTCCTCATGCCCAATTTCTCCCTTCCAGGGTAACACAATGAGAACCAGATGTCATCCTGCACTTGGTCTACAAAGCAGGTGAGTGACTCCAACAATAGAAATACAGCAGAGGGACAGCTGTGTCCCCCTCCTTCACTGGGCCAGGTGTAGGCAGAGGTGAGTGTTTGTCTATTTGTGCACATGTGCTCATCTAGCTCTTAACTCTTCTGAAAGAGTGTGATTCCACCCAGCTCAGATGACTGTTAGGCAGGGGCTCTGCCCTTACTCCGCAACAGGGCAGAGCTGCCCTCCAGGCTCTTGTCATAGAAAATAATCTCAAGCTCATTGTCGTGCCATGATTTATCCAAAGCCTCTTTGAGAGAAATAACATCTGTGAAGGACTGCCTGAAGTACAATCCATGTAGTCCATTGATTTTTCAAGATATTACAAAAGTCATCCTTGGATGAACAAGACTGTTAGTAAAATACATATGGAGAATACTTTGTTTCATATCCCTCCCATCAAATTTGTTTTAAATATAAATAATAATAATAGCCATTTATATTTATTAAGGACTTAAAATGTACTTAGATGTGACCCTCTTAACTGTCCCAACAGGGTATATATCTCCATTTTGCAGATGAAGAAACTGAGGCACAGGGAGGTTATGTGACCTGCCCAAGATGATAAGTGGCAGAGCTGGGATTTGAACCCAGGCTCTTAACCATGTTGACACTAGGCTCTTGGCTTTCACTGAAAGGCCACTGTTATACTTACTGTGAAGGTATTATTAAAGATGTATTTTAAGTACCAACCTTACTTATTTTTTGCTTTGTCTTATTCTTCCCTATTCAATTTATTTTTTAAATGAATTATATTGTTTTAGCATATGTACTTTTGTATATAAATAGATTATTTTTGGAGCAAAGAGGAGAATATAAATAAATTAATTAATTAATTAATTAATAAGTACATGAGAATTTACAGACCAACAGAAAATTAGTTAAATATCAAAGGAGGATTTGTTTTTCACAGAATCATATGGATCAACACTATCTAATAGATATATAATATGAACCACAGGTGTAAATTAAAATTTTCTAGCAACTACATGAAAAAAAGAGGTAAGTTACTTTTTAAAATAACACATTTTATTTAACCCCCCCAATCCAAAGTGCTATTTTGTTATATAATCAATATTATAAAATTATTAATAAGATATTTCACATTCTTTTCTTTCATTCAAAGTCTTTGAATCCAGCATGCATTTTCTCCAACAGCACATCTCAGTGCAGATTAGCACATTTCAAGTGCTCAATAGCCGTACCATATTCTACACTGCCTATAGAGATGGATGGGAGTTACAGACCATGTAGTTTTAATCCAACCCATTTAGTTCTGGTAAGAAGCCAAGGTCCCAGGAATTTAGAGACTTGCCTATGGAAAGGACTACTACTGCTACTACAACTACTACCAAATCCAAGGACTACTACCTCAGATTGCAACTCAGTGTTCTTTCCACTCTTCACACGTTCAAGATAAATGCAAACTCATGTCCATAGAGAAGTGCCATAGCCCTTTCCCATCATTTCCCCAACATACCACCCTCTAGCCTTGTCTGAGATACAGACATCTTCTCAGAAGACTTTCTCTTCAGTGACTAAACTGGGGGCTTCTCCCCAAAGTTCCAAAGTAGATGCTCTACTGATGCCAATAATTACTTAGTTTAGACTTTAGGACAGCATTTCATTTTACTCTTGGTGTGTAGTTTAAAGGATGAACAAGCTCTAACAACTAAATGTTCCCTGCTTTTGTTATCTGCTGTGCTGCCTATTTAAATCAGAACATTTGCTGAGCACACATATGAGAAGGGAAAGAATCATATCTCATACTTTTTGTTGGGTTTATTCATTTTCATTATTATTATTATTATTATTATTATTATTATTAGCCTCATCAATTTCCTTTATTTGCCTCATGTTGGTCATGTATCTGAGTCATGTCTCTGAAAGGAACACAGCAAAGTAAACTCTTTACTCTCATAGGGAGGACAAAACTAAAAGCAAGATTAAACTTAGCAAAAGTCTTGCCTCTTTAAAATCTAGCAGCCCTAACCCTAACCCTAACTGACTGATGACCTCATCAGATTTTCACAACCTAATAAGAATTGACGAAAAGCCTAAAAGATAAGATTTCAAACTCAATCCATGAGTCCTTCCCTCCTTTTTCTGAGAAAGTCTCACAGGGTTAATAAATTTATTCCCAGTTCTTAACAATTGCTCTGCGACCCTGTAGCTGCTGGTGCTGGTAGCCCTCCTACCTTCAGGGGCCCTGTGGAACCAACTCATTTGCATTAAGCTCCTACTGGGCAGTAATTCTGTTCTTCCTGGAATATGTTTTACAAGGTCCTAGGCCCATTATTAATCTATATAGGAGAACAGAGGATATCATTAGATTTGATTGGTGTTAATCAATTACTCTGATAGCTCAAAATTATTTTTTTGAAACAGAAAATGTCCCTCTTCTTCCATTGTCCTTCTACTACATCATATATGAATTTCTTTCCTGCCCACAAAAATATGACTGTAATACAAATAATTATAAAATTATTATTCTAATTGAAAACTTTGTAGCATTGCCCCATGTGGAATTATTTATGACTACTGAAGCAGGGAGACTCCAGAGTTAATGCTTTAAAAATATACAGGGGGCTAGACAGCCAAGCTAGAAGCCTGGCTGTGGGTTCCACCACCCTCGACTAGCTGTGGTTTTGCCTATGGTAGAGTGAATGCTCACCAACACAACCAAGATTTGCTTGATTTTCACCTGGAACTTACACAAGAAGATGTTAATTTCTGGCTACTATGAGGAAATCCAGTCAGACATTCTCTCTCCTGCTGGCTGCTGGTGCTTCCTTCTCCTTAGAGCCTCAAAGGTGAGAGGCAGTGACTGCCTCTGAATCCCAGAGAGCAAAGGAAGGACAGTGTCACCTCAGACATGCCTGAGTTTCTCTCCCATCATGTATTTGTGCATCTCGTTTTCCCCTAAATGGTTTCACTGCCTTTTTTCCTGAGTATACTTGACAGTTTTCTACTCTTAATTTTAAGGCACAATGTAGACTATTTTCTATTTCTCACTCCAAAACCACCCAAAGTTAACTTGCTTTTGAGTACATATGGCCTCAGATTTACCTTTATTTTTCCTGAGGTTGTTGTCCTCAATATAATGAGAACTTTCTATCCTTTCTCCATTGTACAGAATAAAAGAGACCCAGACTAACAAAAATAATTAATTTGGGAATTCTCTCTCCTCATTGCCCACTCCAAACTCCTGTAATCCTGAGAAGAAGATACAATTTCTCACCAAGGTGTAAGTGAGAAAACAGAAAAAAGAAAAGGAAACAACAGGGGATAACCTATGCAATGAATAAGTTATTTTATAGTCTTTTCATTTTGTCTGTTTCTTCCTTTGTCTATGATATTGAGATGGTTCTAAAATTTCATAAAGAAATATAAGCATCATTAGGTGCACAAGTAACTGGAGGTGGCATGTGGTGTTTGAAAGACATCTAGACAGGAGGCACAAGCTCCAGCTTGACATTAACTGCCTACTGCTTAGCCCTGGGCAAATTCAGTTCTATGAAGGTGAAGTTCTTCACAATAAAGTATGGCACTATTATCTGCCCTTCCAATCTTATTGTAAGGATCAAATGCAATGATAAATGTAAAATTACACTGTAACCTGCAAACAATAATAATAATAGCAGCAAATTGTTATCTTTATTATATGTTTTAATACCTCCTATGTGCCAAGTACCATTTAATCTTTACACTAACCTTATAATGTAAGTACCATTATTATCCTCATTTTATATGAGAAAATAGAGGCACAGAGGGTTAAATAACTTGCCCAAGATTTAAACTGTATAAACGGGAGAGCTATTATTCAAACCTAGGCAGCTGGACTTCAGAACTTTATGCTTTTCTGTCTCCCTATACAAACCCTAAGTTTAAAATAATGAAATCTCAGAATAATATTGGGAAAACTTGACAACGTGCTAATCAAAAGCTCACTTCTCTAACAGAAAGTCTTTATTGAACAGTAAGTATAGTGTACAGCGCCTGCAGAATCAATTAAATAGCTAAGTCCAGCAAGAGATTGTGGTCATTCCTATATGCGTGCCAACAAAGTATTTAAATGCAAAATTACCCTTTCAGACTTTCAAACAAAAAGAGAAGGCACTAGCATTGTAGGTAACCAGGCAAAACATCTGAAGTGTGTTTAAAGCATCACATACATACATTTATGCCATATTTAGATAAATACATTGAAACTATTCATGCAATCATAATCTGCAATTAAGGACCAATGGATATGCCCGATGCCGGATGCAGGCCATTATTAGAGTAAGGCAAATATAAACTGACAGTGCAATTTTTCTTTCTCATCAGCTCTAGGCACATCACGTCAGCTCAAAGGTACTGACCACTGATTTAGGTTAACTATGAAAGAGGGGGCCAGAAAGTTTAGGCATAGAAATAAATCTGTTCTTAATCACCCACCCGTACCTGCTACCTGTAGAAAACCTATTGGCTTCTTTTTCTTTCCATTTCTTTCCCTTGTTGGAATTCCTTCGCAAAGGTGCCCTATAATGACAGCACACAGTCAGAAAGGGGAAGTTGAAATTTTCTCCTTTAGTCCTTTTACAAAGGGCTTGCTTTTTACATCATCAAATGCTTACCCCAGATCCACAAACTTCTGCTTAATTTTTCCTCCTTGCACCACCAATGAACTGGATTCCCTTAGTGATCTGGGACCTTTGGCACCATCTAGGATATATACATATATGAAAAAGACCAATTATTATTATTTTTTACAACCATGAATCAAAAGTCAGTGCATCTTTGAATCTAAGGAGCATGCCTAAATTCCTAACTGTAAAAGAAAATAATGCACACCTTTTTATAGGATATTGGAAACATAGCTATGCGAGGAGCATTCAGTTAAGCAGGAGAGGTCCTGCTGGACAGAGGCCCAATACTCATCACAAAGAGTTTTAGCTTTAAACAAACTGGAATTAACAAAATGAGCAAGAATAAATACTACCAAATCATCCTCTGCATTCAAAGCAGACAACAAGGCTTTCCTTTTGTTCTTTCTCTGGCTCCAATTCTTGGCTTGCCATACCTGGGCTCTGTCCTCCATACCTTTCTTGCCTTTGGGTTTTAGTGCCTTCTGACATGAACCATGAACCCAGCCCACTTCTCACCATATCTCTAAAGCCCAGGACAGAATGTCACTCCTGAAAGTCTGGGAGATTTAGGGAGAAAGTGAGAGTCAAAGTTTTCCTTTCTGGTCTCTCTCTTGCTAATGGCCTATGGGCCAGTCCTGGGGCAAAGGAGGGCGGAACATAAGAGAGACATAAGCAGAAGCAGCCATAGAACATTTATATCTTTGAAAGGTCTTTCTTAGCAGTTGAGTTGGAGCACAACTTGGCTGGTCTTCTGTGATATGGAAGATGCCAAAATCTCCTCTGCGCTTGAAGATGACTGATCTTTGCCATTTTGAGTCATGTTGACACTCTAAAGGGTAGCAGCTGCTGTAGGATAGGGCCACTCGGAGCGATGCCAAAAACCAACCAGAAGAGAGATTTGTGAATGGAGTTCAATGTCAAATGTGGGGACTAGATTACACCTGTAGCACTTATTCCACCTCAGACAAGGGCGGTAATTCCTGAGATTCTCCCTGCAACTGTTCATCAAAGGATACAGTTTGGTGTTATGTTTCAGCATATCCAGTTATCTGAGGTGATTAACAAACGGTGTTTTAAATTTGATGTGTTTTTTTGTGTGAAACTACTCCTTAATTGTCTGTTGATGTCTATTTGTCTGTCTCCATCTTTTTAAAATTTACAAAATTTCTAGAAACTTTCTGGCACAGAGTGCAGAGAGAACAGACCTTCTAAAAAGTGTTCAATTAACCTTGCAGGTAAATTTTGGTTTTGATTTTTGTTTACTTCAAGAGAAATTTCTAAACACACATCGACATACATCCTTAAAAAAGTGCACACACAGTTCTCATTTAGGAGTTTAGGTTCAAAGCTCTAGAGCAGCATAGGACACTGACAAATACTTCAAAGATTTTGAGCAATGAGCTTTTCATATTTTTAGTTAACAATACTCAGATTACAAGAATCAATTTCTTGAAATGTACATAATGAAATACAAGAGTCAGAAATATATCTGTGTCAACATCCACTTCTAGCCTCAAATATTTGTTATGGGTATTTGCATCATTACTCTTTGGGTGACCAAATTAAATAGCCACAGATGTGGCATATACACATTAAAAAAATATCCATAGACATGGCACAAATGTCTTCTAAGGTGATTTTGCTAATGGACATTTTAACAAAAGCAGGATTTCAATTTTCTTAATAGAAGTTGAAGAAAAGAAAGTGCTGAATTCTTCCAGATCAATCCTAAAGCAACTCTGAATGGCTAGTACTGTGCAAAATTAAAAGGAGACTGCCTAATTATTTTCTGAATTAGAGGTAGCTGGGAGATGTTTTAATGAGTGATGAGAAGACCAGCTGAGACAATGTACATGGAAACACTCTGAAACCTATTAGTGTTGCAGTTATTTGGACATCTTGGGACTAAAAGCCTGCTTCTGCCCATCACAGAGCCTGCTGCTAGGCAACCTTACATCATTATCTCACACATTTGCCAAAGTGTGTTCCAAGGAACACTAAATGAATAATTCCACAAGTTTGAAGAGGCAAGATTAAGAAATAATGTACTTTCCCATTTTAAATCAATCAAATCCATTTGTAATGCACATCAGAACTTCTAATCTGCACAAAAACCAACATTGGATTGGTATGATTTCAAGAAAAGAGAGAGAAACATGACATTTTTGTTTGCTTACTTATTTATTTAGCTTTATGTAAGACTTCCATTAGGTTTTTTGAAATCTCTCTAATACTACCTTCATGACCAATCAGAAGTCTGAGCCCCCAGACTGAGTGCCTCAGCTTTAAGCTTTGGCAACCTGATTTTCATTTTCAAAGGTTGATCTCCTGGTAGCTAAATCCTAAGGTCTTTTCTTGGGCTGCATTCTCCTTAATCTCACTGCAATAACACCCTCCTTTATGATGGGTACTCCCAAATCTGCCTCCCAGCCCCTGCTTCTCTCCTGAGCTCTCCACCTTCTCTGTTAAAAAAAAGAGTTATTTATATTTCCGCATAGTGTTTCTCATTTCCTATTTTCTGTTAATGACAAGACCATATGTTCTGAGGCTAGAAATCCTGTGATGAGTTTTGACTCACTTTCTCCCCCCATTACCTAATAGTCAACTTAGTTTCACAGATCTTGTATCATTTGTTTCTGTCACTGTCTATTGCTCATCTCTAGAGATTATGTGTCTCCTAACTCAGTTTCCCCACACCTAGTATCTTTTCCTTTTTATTCTTCTGCTCAAACATCTTGTGGTTTCCTAGTAATATGGTGAGCTATCTAAGATACTGAAACTCCAGAGCTGTAGACTTAACCTTCCTGCTCGCTTTTATGTGCAACCACTCTACTCTGCATAAACAAGATGTTTCAGGGACAGCCCCGTTCCCTTAAATTCATATTATGTTTTCCTGTCTCTGTTAATGCCATCCCTCTCCCTTACATGCCCCCCTTCCCCCCCCCCCCCCCCCGCTTTTTTAATAGTTTTTCAATGGCTTCTCTAATTGCACTTGCTTTGTCAAGTTTTGTTTGCCAACTTCAGATGGATGCAATCTCTCCACCTTCTGAGCAACAATATAATTTTACTATAGCTATACTTATAGGGGCCTAATGCAACATATTAATAATCGAATCCTGAAAAGTTTTTAAAAAGCCAGGTTATATTTACCAGGACATTAAGTCAATGAATACTTCTGAAGACATGTTCTATGTCAAGCAATGTCTTAATAACTACACATAAACTTAAAATAATAATCTCTGGTAATTGTGAGTAAAAAATGATAGTGCTTAATTTACTCTACTCACAATTACTAGAGATTGACCGAACAAAGGCCCATTGCTATGTAAGCCCAGAGACCAAAACTGTAGTGTTAGGCTGCTTACATCATAGAAATGAGGAAATATTTTCATGCCTTCTACTGCCATATAGTCTGTTTTACCAACCTCTAGAAAAAAAAAATTTACTTCCTCTAATTTAACTGACATCCAGTTAGATGCTTATTATTTAGCCAGTTATAATGGGACACTATCCCAATTACCACTGAGATCCCTCAAATATGAAAAAAAAGATGACTTGTAAATGTGGCATTAACACAATTCATGAAACACCCAACTCCAGTTAGAGTAACCTCAAGCTTGCAATCAAACAGCTGTAACTTAATCATCTTTGTAGCAACACGATAGACTAAAAGTAATGTCATATTATTTTTAAAGATTCTGGATAAATGGCAACCAATGATTAAGCCATTTTCAGGTTTATCCAGCAATGCTGAGTAGAAGGAAACATACTTCTAGATGAGCTTTTTCTATAATGAGAGAGATAGTAAATATTTTAGGTTCGCTTAGATATATGGTCTCTGTCACAATACCAACTCTGCCCCTGTAGCAGTCGACAGTATGTAGTAGATAGTATGTAACTCAAAGAGTGTGGCTGTATTCCAGGAAGACTTCATTTACAAAAACAAGTGGTAACCCCTCTTCTAGAAGACCAGCAGCACTGGTTATCTGAATAGACATGGTAATTTATCCAAGAAAATTACTAAGCATCAGTTACATGCTATATACCCTTTGTTAGGGATGAAGAATACAAAGATATGTTTGCGAGTGGAGTGGGTGTGCCTAAGTCTTCAATAAAGGAGGTGAAATGTAAGCTGGGCTTTGAAGAAGGATCAGGATTTTCCTGGCATGAAGTGTTAGGCAAGAGAGTAAACATGATGTCCAGTTTTTCCCAGTGAGTACCACTAAACTCTGTTCTAGATCCTTTATTGATGTCAATGAGTTGTAAGAACCTCACACACAGGGAAGCCATAGGCTTACTGTACCTAACCTCTCCTGAGTCTAGTCTGAGTAGTGGATTAGTCTCATTTAGCAAGGAACTCAGGGTTTTACAGGATGTTATTCCCTGACCTGGATTTTGAGAACAATGAAGGTAGAACCCACTCTTCATGGTATCAGCCTCTGCAATGTCACAATAATGGCAGCATGGCGTTTCCCTAAAGTTTAAATAATAATGAGGTCCATTTATTGGGATCTGGGTTGGAAGAGTCCCAGAGGGACATGAGGGAGCTGGAGCGATGGTGGTGCTGCAGTGAAACAGGCAGCTCTTCAGCAAGCTCTAATTTTATGTTCACTGAGCAACTTTCTGATTTACGAACCCATCAATCAGAAGATAGAGAACAGAACAAATGAAGGATGTTGGTTATGATGTCAGCTTTACCTCCCAAAGCAAATCAGAAAATTAGAAATCAATGTTTTGTATGTTTGTACAGCATAAATCAGTCACTCTGAGCTTGACTGAATCTGGGTGTATTACTCAGTTTCTGGATTTAGAAAACTGAGGACCAGGCCCTTAACTCCACAAAGGACTGTGTGGAAATAGGATACCCACAGAGAGTCAGTTGGATGATGGGTCTTCTTCTCTGACATCTTTCAAGATGCCACAGAGCATAAGAGTGGAAGGCAAGAAAGTATAGGCTCTTCCCGGTTGTTGCTGATGGTGGTGATCATCAGGTATCAAAGAGGCAAGGTCTGCCATGAAACTAAAGAGAGAGAAAGAGAAAAAGAAACAGAGAGAAAAGAGAAGGAGGTAGAGGAGGAGGAAAGGAAGATAGTGGCAGACAGACAGACTCTAGCATGTAAACTCCTTGAAGGAAAGGATGGAGCCTTGTCTATCACTGTATATTCAGCCTTTAGCACAATGCCTGACACAGGGTAAATGACCAATAACTATTCATTCAATGAATACATGAACGAATGGATTATGGCAAATTAACATAGAAGGCACAGAAAACTCTTCAAGACTGGAAACTTTTATCACGGCAAGGAAAGAATGTGAGGTTTCAGCACTGCTTTCATCTGGTCACAGTTAGTACCTAACAATGGTTACCACAGTAGTAACTGACTATTTATAAAGCTAGCACTTTATAAAATCTCAATTAACTGCTTCTGCCCCGTTACCGAGAAGCACGATCAGCCCAGGGAAATTGAAAATGAGAAAGCCCGAGCACTTGGTCTCTGGGGAGGAAACTACCCATGCCCTATCTTTTGGTCCTGCTTACTCCCACTGAGAGCTTAATCCCAAAGACCAGTAACAAACAAGGGAGGCACTGGGGGAAGAATGAAATTCTTACATTTTACTGCTACATTTCTGTTAAAGGATTACAAAAGCACAATTCATATCCATGTAAAAACTTCTCCAATCTTGGACGAAACATTTGCTAACTTCAAGGAATCATAAATAAATTAGAAGTAAAAGGCAGAGAGAAATAATCTAGACACGATTTAGCCACTTTGGGTCAGATTTCATATGTGAGTGATCCACTCTCAGACTATAATGTAATTTCTTCCAGAGAGCTAGTTATGTCTCATAAAGTCCAACAGTGGAACACAGAGTACTCACCTATAGCTCCAAAGTATATGCTGCTTCTACTTTGCCTTTTTAAGGATCAAAATATACATATTTTTTGAAGAAATGATAGCCTTGTATTTCTATAAAAGTGATATTATAGCCCCACAATTTAGGTTAATTGACAAAAGTTTTCAAAGGCCAAAATCACAGTCAAGCTGTTTGCCAACCTGACAATCACTTCTGATGATTTAGCAGGCCTGACATATTCTCTTGCTTCCACTGGTATTTTGTCCTCCTTTAAGTACTCAATTTTTACCTCAAAACTGCTTCCAGAAGCGCTGTGCTTAGGACTAATCTGTGGAAGATAATTCTAGCAGTCCACAGGCTCAGGAAAGTAAGCCAAAGAGAAAATAGCAGGAATAAAGTTATGATGCTTACCAAGAGTTACAAAATAGTATGAGCCCTCATAGTCAACTGCACTTCTATGTTCACAAGGTATCTGTAGATAGATTACAATTTCTGATCTGGTAGAGATAAATGAGTACCGAATTTTCAAAAATGTAGTGATGCACAATCGTACCTGCAATGTATGGGTGTGTCCTATGTCACCTCTGGCACTGGTCAGTGGACTTCTCTAAATTCCAATCTGAAGATTTTGGCAATCTGCCAAATTTGGCAATTTGACATCTAATTTAAATAGTAATTTCTCTGATGATTAGTAAGATTAATCATCTTTTCATACCTTATAAGTATTGTGAATTTTCTCTTCAATGAACTGACAGATTATTTCTTTAGCCTACTTTTGACTTTTTTTTTTTTCCTATTTGTCTTTTTCCATGTCCGGCAACGGATCGCAACCCTCAGTGTTGCCCCCGTACCGGACTAGGACCGGCAACGGGATTGCAACCCTTGGTGTTGCTCCCGTGCCTCACTCAGCCAGTGAGCGGGAACCGGTCTGTATGTGGGATCCGAACCCTCGGTGGGAGCGCCGCCGCGCTTCCCAAGCGGTGCACTATAGCAGTGCGCCACCAGGCCGGCCCGATACTTTTGACTTTTTAAAAAATAATTCTTTGGAGCTACTTATATATTAGAGAGAATGTCCATCAATTAACTTTGTATGTGGAGTCCTTTTTTATGATTATTGAATACTAAAATCAAGAGTATTTATAAAATACTAGAGCATAAGCAAAAGATAGAAAAACAAACACTCATTTGCCACCCCACCCCCACTGCAGTTTCTACTTAACGTTTCTAGTGTGTCCTTCCTCATCCCTATTCCCCCAAGTAACCAACTTTGCCATTGTCATTTGTAACGTCAAAATTTTGTTTGTATCTCTAAATAATCCACTAGTTTTGTTGAATTCTATATAGAGTCACGTGTTCTTCTAAATTTGCTTTATCCTCTCAATGTCTTGTTTGAGAGACTCACCCCTGCTGTTATGTTTCAGTGCAGTTTATTCATTTTCCCTGCTGCACAGATTCATTATGTAAATCTACAGCAATCCATTTATCCATTCTACCAGTTTTGCTATTGTACAACAAGGCTGCTATGAATATTCTTGTACATGATTCTTAGTACAACTGTGCAAGATTTCTCTTGGTTATACAAATATATACAGGTAAAGACTTGCTGCCATTTATATTTGTAATATTATGTGTAAAACAAAGTTGCAGTGTAATGTGACTAGTAGGGTTCCTTTTTTGTAAAAATAGAAAACGAGTATACAAAACCAAAACACACACACCAAAAAGTATTGTGTGTGTGTGTGTGTATTTCATTTCAGATGCAACAGATAATGTAACCGAATCTGCTTGATTACTTTAAAGTAACACACCAGACAGGGAGGAGGAGAATGAACCTATCCTTTATACATCTCTACATTGTTTAACTTGTTTAAGCAAGAATTTATTACTTCTATAAATTAAAACATATGATTAAAAAGACAAATCTATTTACCCTACTATGAAATTCTGTTGTAATTCTAAGAGCCTAAAAGTTAATTGACTGACCTCCTTTATCATTATCATTAGCCTAGCTTTTCTATAACATGCTTTGCAATGTAAATCATTATTGTGAAAATTTGCTCTAAATAAAAACCAGTTAATGGGTTAAGACCTATATCACTTTGATCTTCATATTATTTTTTTTCTATATGACCATGTTAATGTTTATTAAAACTCTAGGCTGCTATTCTATAAAATCTCTAGAAGGTCCCCCAAAGAGTTTCTTTCAACAGAAAACTTGAAGAGGGCTGAAGAGATAAAAATACTAAACCATGTAGGAAGAGATTTTAAAAAAACGGTAGATGAGGGGGTGGGTTGAGGTATCTCTTATCCCATAACATAAAATGAAAGAAATAAAAGGGGTCTTCAAAAAGTTCATGAAAAAATTTGTACTATCTTTAAATTCCATTTTCCCATGAACTTTTTGAAATACCCTCCTATTACTAGTTGTGAGAAGACAAATGACTTATGATTATGAGAAAATGGCACTTTTATATTGCAACAAATCAAGGTATTAGTGAAGTCAGAGGAAGCAAAAGCAAAACAACAACAAAAGTAACAATACCTTCTTCCTGTAATATCTTCGTGGTGGTGGCTTGATGGTGGCAAGGAGATTCTTCCATATCATGATCAGATTTTGAAGGAGAGGAGAGTGAAGTGTCTCCCCCAATAGAGGAGAAAGGCTCCCTTTCTGGGTGCAGTAGTCCTTCTTGAAATTCAGATACGTGGTCAGACGAGAAGGGCACATTGCTAGCCACTGGGGTGAGGGGTGGAACACTAGAATCTGATTCTGGAGAAGAAGTTCTCGAACCCTTGGGTGGAAGTAATTTGGTAATATGCATGTGGTTATAGAAACTGTTTAAAGGCTGTTGGTACAAGAGATTATAAAGGAGGTTATGCCACTGAGTATCAGTTCTATGCAATACTTACTTTGAAACAAGATCGACCTTTTTTTAGTGAATCCCCATGAAAACCATTTTTTTTTGTTTTCCGATTTACAGATGAGAATGCATAGTTCATAACAATTCACCATATTAACAATGTAGCTAACACAGATACCTAAGACATATGGAAACAATTACTTGTTGATTCAGTATCTCCCACTAGGTAAAACCAGCAGCTGAATATCAAAAACTCCATCACAAAATACGACAATATGGATAATGCTCTTGGTTAGTTCACTGAATGAGTAGAGAAAAGAATCTGAATTACAACAATATATTCAATTGAGTAAAAATTCAGAAGACAAAGACATGAATTATTCTAGCTATTTTGAACTAGGATGTAGACTCTGGTTGCACACAAATCATTATCTCCAATAAGCTGTAGGAACAACGATACGGCCCAACAGTACAAGTCAGAAAATGGTCAAGGACGCTCACCTTTCGCTCTAGACTGTCCTCCCCATCTGTTGAACTGACGCTGTCATAGAGTCTTGTCCTAGAGGGCCTTTGGCGCCTGTTCTTCAAGGACAGCTGGGCTCGAGTTTTCAGTGCTTTTGAATCCAGGCGCTCTGTCTCTGGGACCGCTTCGTTCAAGTCTAAGAAAAGAATATTGTAAATAATGAGTGACAGAAACCTTTGGAAAGGACAAAGAGACCACAGATACTGATAAAAAAATCTCAAGGTTATCAGTAACACCAGATAAGAAACAGGTGACAACCATGACGTCCGGTCTGACAATCCCACAGGTAACAAAGAATTCAGTGGGATTTAAGAGAAATGTACATAGCCTAAAGGAAGAAAGCAACACTAAGGATGATCAAGGTACCAAACAAAAGTCTAACATCCAAAGAGCATAAAACCTTCCTACAACATGAATATAAAAAGCACTTATTGTATTTGTTTATGTGTATGCATGTTGGAGTGTTTGATAATCAAAGATACAGGGGAAGCTGTATCAAAGTTGGGAGATCTTAGAATCCAAGGACAAAAATCTACAAATGTTGCTAGGTCAAGTGTAGGCAATAGTAGGTGACCATCCATGTAAATTTCCTACAGCAAAATTTAATAATAGGCTATAAGGACTATACCATTTTGGTCTTAATATTTTTTTTCCCACCCCAAACAGAGTTTCTGAAAATCTAGCTTGTTCCTCTTTGAACTCTGTAGAAAGACCAATGAGGAATTTTCTTTCTCAGCAAATTTAAGATAGCTGAGGAAATAAAACAAGGTCTGGCTACACAAATGAACAAACAGTTAAAACAACCATAGGTACTTAATTTGCCAGTATTATGGATGGAGTAGGTAAACATTTCCTTTTCTTTCATTAACTTCTAAGTTTATATTCCAAGTTCTCTGTATGTGCCTCTGACTTGTTTCTTTTTCTGAATATCTTCTCTCCCCACCAGAAAGAACACTGATTTTCCAGAGGAAAGTATCTAAATCTTTAAATAGACTCCATGAGAAAAAGAGAATAGAAAAAGAAAGTAAAGCAGAACACAAAGAAAATGAATTAATAAAAACTGCAGGGAGAGTCCAATGTGGTCCTCTTTAATCTGGCTCTTGCCACCTTTAATTTTCCTACCCTGACTTTAAGTTAGGATCTAAAAATTAACATTCTAAAAGGGAAGAGGAAAGGTCACCCATGAACCTACCCAGGTATTGGTTGGTGAAAAGTACTCTTTGGTTGAATTTATTTAGAATGTTACTACTCCTTACATCTGAATATGTGATCACTCCTTAAAAATAAAGCAGTTTGATCATTAATCACATTTTATCTTTTGAAGGTAGCAGTCATTAAATGAAGTCACAGTCAATGAATTAATAATTAAGTGCTTCTGGATTTAAATTATTAAAAACAAAGCAAATAACTGAGTTGTGGAAAATTAATATGCACTGGTACCATTAGAATAAAACAATTTCTTACATGATCATCAGCCCTGGTATGTAATTCCTTTTCATAGCATTATTCTAAAGATGCGCTCTAAATATGTTATAAAACCAAAACAAGAAAGGACCTCTGGTTGTGCCTCTCTTACCTATGAAACCTCGCACTTGGCATATGCTTCTAACAAATAAAATTAAACATATTTTTGCCCAGGACAATATTTAGAGAATATTGACTTTTCATCTCCTATACTTGAATGAAGAATGAATACTCAGAAAAGTCAGACCATTAGATATATGGGAAGATCAACTTTTCTATTTAGTAGCCTCTTTACCTTTTACATGTCAGTGGAGAAAAAATAATCTCCTTGATCATTTTAATTTCCTCCTTCCAATAAAATCTATATTTGCAGCTTCCCATTAGGAGGTCATTAGTTGTGACAATTGGGAGAAAGTCAATCTTAAAAGCTCTTGTCTGCATATAAAATGTGGAATACCACACAGATGAAAGCAATAATATAATTAGAAATAATGTAGCACATGCATGTTGTATATCTTATCTATCTCATATTTGGATTATACATTGTATAATGCAAAGCACTGCCACATACTTCATCTCATTTGTTCCTCACACAGCCTGTGAGATACTAGTCAAGTGTGTTTTTTTTCCTGTCCTGAAGCTCAAAGAACTTGAGTAGTTTGCCTCATCTACACAGCCAGCTGATGAGCTACCATAACTATTCCAGTGTTCTAAATACCAGGCTACCAGGCTACTCTGATTTAGCTAGTGCTGACAAAGTTATTATCAAAAGATTTTAATGCCATTAGAGTTCAGTGTTTTAGGTTATAAAATCATATATGTTGTGACTAGGCTAGGAAATTCTCCAACAGGCTACATATAAAATATGATTATTAATCTTCCGTGTATGTGTTAAGAGAACATAGAAAAAGGAAAATGTTGAAAACTATAGAACAAATTACTTAGATGATTTCTTGTCTGGGTGGCTTAATAACAGCTTTGGTTATCAGTGACAAAAAGACCCAAGGAAGTCGCTCATCCCACTTTTGTAAACATGGTTCCTTTTGCAATAAAATCTTAGCCCTGGAGGACCCAGCATAGCACTCAATATCCAGGACTGTAGTAGTTACTCCATTACTGGGTTCTGAACAAATAAAGTGAGGGGAAATGAGAACAACTTATTAGCAGGGTTTAATAGTGCAGAGAATTTATGCTGGTACATCTGACTCCATTGCTATTCAGTAATTTGCCTGGTGCTGGTATCAGACAACTGCAAAATGGCAATCTAGTATTATTTGCTTTAACATCAGCTAACTAGGTGTAAACTGCTTCAGTGCACACATGAAATGATATCTATTAAAGATGCAGTTATCTGGAGTCTGAAAAGCAGTGCCTTAAATCCACCATCCAAGTAGCCAACAACATATCACATGCAATGTACAATTTTTGAGGATCTGAAAGCATATATCTTTGAGCCACTTCATAGCAGTAATTCACGGATTACAAAGCAGTAATTTCTATTCTATCCTGAGAAAAAAAAATTTTTAATGTAAAGGAAAAATGGAATGGAGCTGAGAACTTTCACTTTATAGCACTTATACTGGCAAGAAGCTGGAAGAAACATTGTCCATAAGAAGCACCTACCAAAAACACTGCAAGTAACATACCCATTAAGAGTATTGGAGGAAATGCGTGGAGATAGAAGGAAAATGCATACAAGACTATGCTGCTGGGTAACTAAGGGGCGATTTGTTTGTCCACTATACAAGCATGCTATCTTTTTTCATCATGTAATATAAGAATCAGAATATTACAACTCGAAAGAACCTTGGGATTCTTGTTTGACCTTACTTTTCATATAAGAAAACTGAGGCTCAAAGAAAGTTACTAGTTTGTGTACTAACTTGCACCACACAGTTAATCTATGGAAGAGACTGGATAGAGCACAGGCCTGAACAGTCTTTTCTCATTCCGGAAGGTCACTCTCAAGTCTAGGAGTAAACTTCACAAGCAATCTTTTGCCATCTTCAAATCCTCTTTTTAGTTTTACTTTATGCTCCAAACAAAAATACATGTCAAGGACTAACTTTGCAAACTCACAGAAGTATATAGCATCAGGCAAAACCAAACCAAACCAAACATTGAGGGATTTTATTTGGCTTTTTATATATCCAAGGAATAAAGTTATTAAAAAAAATTAGCTGTCAGTTTTGTGGATGGCAATGTGGCAGGAGAAATCCAAACGGTTCAATGTCTTTAAGTTATGTGCTGCTAGATGTAAAGGCTTAGGTGGCCTTGTTCTCTCCTGTCATTCATTCCCTGCAGAGATCTTAATCAATAATATCACACTGTTTCCATAAATCCTGGATCTCAGTTCTTCCTTTCCCTCTTCTCTCCAGTGTACCTCGTGCTGTTGTCCAGAAAGGCTGGAGGAAAATTTCCTTTTCCTCCTCTCCTTTCTTATCTATCCTTTCTTTCAGATCCTCCAGTTTCTGAAATAGCCAAATCTCTGACTCAAATGCAGCTAGAGAGACAAAAGAGGAGCAGACTAAAATGGATTAATATATATACACACAGATAAATACAGAGAAGATAAGCAGCAGCTAATGAAAGAGGGGCTTTGAGCGGGTGGGGACTCCACTTCACTATACCTGCATTTTAAGACTAGTCTCATTATTGCTCCAAATCGGATCCTTTAAAATAATTTAATGGATTTGATTATGATGTTAGCAGCTGTTATGAAAATGCTCTATGAAATTAGGATTTTACCAATCATATTACACAGAGACCAGTTCTCTACAGTAATGCTATGAGTCATTCAGCTTTTTTCACCAGATTGACGTTGTTTTTGACGTTAATGGAATGCTGCCCACGATCAGATGCAGGTGACCAGGGAACTAGAGGAATGGAGTAGCGTGACAGCGGGGTCTGCTCCACATTCTTTCGTGCATTAATCCCCTCAAGAACGGTCATACCTCCTACCACCACCCTGCCTTGCTTGTGCCATTATCAACTGAAATGCTGAGCATAATGAGGCAAGCGTGGTATTTGAAAACTTGAACAGTATCTGTGTATCATTCACAGTCTGCAAGTTCATAAAAGATGGGCCCATTGGGACTTGGGGTGACACATATTGTATTTGGGAGATAGCTCCATGAATCTCAGAGAAGCAGTATAAAATAGTTACCACAAAAGGAGACCTGTAGTGAGTCTTCCTTGAATAGAATCCAGAACAAGTGGCTCTGCCACTAAATTGGGCAATTTACCTAATCTCCCTGTCCCACAGGATCCTCAGCTGTAAAATGGGCATGGTAATAACATAACATAATGATAACTGCATTGTTATGAAGATTAAATGCATTAATAGATATGAAAGTGCTTAGAAGAGTGACTGCTACATAATCACTCAATAAATGTCTACTGACATGAAGAAATTGGCAAGACATTACATGAGTAAAGCAAGCTGCAGAACACCATGTACATTCATTTAAAATATTCAGAAAATAGCAACATCAAATACATTTTCTAATGGTAAATATATGCATATAACTGCACAGGAAAACTGGAGATATGCTTCCTCCTGATAACAGTGGTTATTTCTAAAGACGGTATTAGATTAATGGGTGTAGGTCAAAGGGTACTTTAATCTTATTTGTATGTTAAATTTTTTTTTAATATTATGTAACTTGTATA